CCTCTTTACTGCACCAGGCTGGAGATGCAATGTGTGATCTTCTCTCACTACAACCCCGCCTCGTGAGTTTTCAGTGGATTCTCCTGCCCCCTCAGCCGTCGGAGTAGCCTGGGGATACAGGGCCTGCCGTCACGGGCCCGCTAATTTTTTATATTTTTAATAGAGACAGGGTTTCTCCAGGGTTTGGTTTAGACTGGTCCTTCGAACTCTTGACCTCAGGGTGATTCACCCGCCTTTGGCTCCCATAAAGCGCTTGGGGGGATTACAGGCGTGAGGGGGCCTCCATGCCCCGCCCGAGTGCCCGATTACATTTTTAAGACACTTGGCAGGCTCCAAAGTTAGTTGTTACCATTTATCATTCTCATCAGCACTGCATAAGGACTGTCTTAATTACTCTTGTTTGCCCTTCCCAGCACTTGACATGCTGGTGTTTTTTTGATTTTAGCCATTTTAATAGGTGGACTGTCAATGATATTCTCATTGGCCTGACTTTTAATTTGCATTTTTCCTCATGCTCCTAATGACTTGAGCATCTTTTTAAAAAATATTTTTGCTTTGTTTTGTTTTTGAAACAGGGGTCTCGCCCTGTCACTCAGGCTGGTGTACGGTGGTGTGCATCGCTCGGGGCTCCCTGACAACCGCTTTACGCGCCTCTATTGGGGCTTTCAAGTGATCTCTTGGGCCCCCTCGCCCAGGTTAGCGTGGCTATTATAGGGTGTGCCAGCCACTATGCACAGGCCCTGAATTTTTGTATTTGATTATAGTGGATGGGGTTCACCATGGTTGGTCAGGCCTAGTCTCACACTCGGTCTTGACCTCAAGTGACCTGGTCCTAACCCTCAGGCCTGCCCAAAGGGCCTAGATTACAGGCGCTGAGCCATCATTGCCTGCGCCAATTCAGTGTTGCTTTTCAATGTCCTGCTATTTGCATATTTTTTGTGTGTGAAGGTATCTGTGATTAAAATCTTTTTGCCACTTTTCAAGACGTTTGTATTTTGAGTATGATTGTAGATTCATGCTTTTTACCTTCTGTTGCATTTTGTCTTGTATTGTCATTTTTACTGCGTTGTTGGAGAGTGCCTTACTTCTGGATTACAGCTTTTTTTAGGGTGGGGGGGAGGCGGTAGTCTTTGGCTCTGTTGCCCCAGGCTGGGAGTGCAGTTGGTGTGGATTTCGCCTTACTGAACCTCCGGCCTTTGGCAGGTTCAAGCTGTTCTCTTAGCCTCAGCCTTCCAAGTAGCTGGGTTACAGGCATGGTGACCACGCCATATTTGTATTTTTAGTAACGGATGGCTTTCTGTCATGAATTGGTCAGGCCCTGTCTCGCACTCGCTGACCTCAGTGAATCCGCCCGCCTTGGCCTCCCAAAGTGCTGGGGTACAGGCATGAGGCCACTCGTGCCCGCGCCTTTTAGTGTTATTTTTTAAACACTTTTAAATAAGCGGTGTTTAGTCTTGGGTACTATGGCACCTTTGGAGTGCGGTCTTTGGCTGTTTTGTATTTTGACTGCCCAGAGTCATCCTTCTGACCATGGTCCTTTGTCTCCCATTGTGTTTTCATCTTAGACAGAGGAGTTGTTGTTTTGCGTCTCGTGGAGTGGCCTGTGCTTCTGTTGGGCAACATTTTCGGAGCGTGCCTACTTCTTCTGCTTCTTCCAGTATGCGTTATGAGGGTAGTGTTGTTTTCTAGCTCTCAGTGCTCTCTCTCGTCTCTCTCTGTGTGTGTGTGCACATGTGTGTTGCTTTTTATATATTAAATAATACTGTGGCCATTTAAAAACTATGCCAGAACTGTGTCTGGATAGGGCAAGGCTTTTATTAAAAGTAGTCAAACTTCTGACCGAGCCATGGTGGCTCACACCTGTAACCCAGCACTTTGGAGGCGCGTAAGGTGGGTGGGTCACCTGAGGTCAGGAGTTGAGACGTAGCTTGCGCCAACTGGTGAAAGACCCCATCTCTTACTCAAAAATATAAACATTCAGCCGAGTGTGGTTGGGTGCAGTCTTATAGTTCCAGCCTACTCAGATGCTGAGGCAGTGAGATCACTTGAACCCGGGAGGCGGAGGTTGCAGTGAAGCCATAGGTCGTACCACTTCACTCCAGCCTGGGTGACCAGAGTGAGACTCCATTCAAAAATTATTAAAAAAAAAGAGTAGACAACCTTTTGATTATTCATTAAAAGTAGACACATTTCTATATATTCAAACACATAAAAATTATCCAGACACAGTTCTGACATAGTTTAAATGGCCAACAGTATTATTTAATATAAAAATTTTCCTAACAAAAACACTATGAGAGCCTAAAGACATATACCAGTTGGAGAGTATTTGCCAACTGATGTTACAGATAAAGGCTAATCTGGGTCAGGCATGGCCGCTCCACCTGTAATCCCAGCATCTTTGGGAGGCTGAAGTAGAAGAATCACTTGAGCCCAGGAGTTCAAGACCCAGCCTGGGCGATATAATAAGACCTCGTATCTACAAAAAAACTAAAAATTAGCTGAGTGTGGGGTGTGTGCCTGTAGTTCCTGCTATTCAGGAGGCTGAGTGGAGGATTGATTGCTTGAGCCTGGGAGCTGGAGGGTACAGTGAGCCAGGACACCACCACTGCACTCCAATCTGGGGATTGTGAACAAGACCCTGTCTCAAAAAAAAAAAAAAAAAAAAACCCAAAAACAAAGGCTAATCCCCCTCATATGTAAAGAGCATGCCATGAATTTTAAGAAAAAAGCCAAACAAAAGAAAGATACAGAATTGGAATGTATAGTTACGGAAGGATATAGAATAGGCTGTGATGTAAAATCCATCCAAGTATGGAATGTGTAAAGAGTATTGCTTTCCTTGCGAAATGTGGTGTTATGCTGTTATACTGATTAGTTAATTCTCTGCACTAGACCCATATAATGTGCCCATCTTGTTTCTTTGTGTCAGGTGATCTCTCTTGCTAGTGCTCATTAAGAAATTTCTGTGCAATCTAGGGAGACCAAGATATATGCTCTCTGTTTCCTCTTAGAGACTTCTCAGACAGGCGAGAGAGACGGCGAAAATATCTACGCTGACTGTTGTTTTCAGAAGAATAGTGGGCGTGCTGGGAAGAAACATTTCCGTGGTAGTTCTGTGAATCTCAATATCCTCACAGTATGATTAATTCTGGATCGCGTACAAAGTAACCGTTATAGAGATTGCCAGATATACTATTTTGGAGATATTCTCGTGAAGGATCTGATATTGAGGCATGTGGCATTTGCGGCGCAATATGGTGATCGAGAGAGGAATCCTCAACGGAAAGGTGACACATAATCTGAGATGGGCTCATGAGAGTGCTGCCTCGTATTCTGATATGAGCTCCGCATCTTCTACTTCGTATCATATATCTACATTCGGTGTACTTCACGTGAGTCAATTCTTCTGGACTGATCGCAGGATTATTCGAACACTTGTCTCGAGAGAAACATTTGGCTGAACAACATGGCATTGTTTTAATCGGTATCTCCTTTGTGCTTTTTTCTGAGGGTAGATATAGAAATATTACTTGCCCGACGGTAGTTGAAACAGAGCGATGAAAGGAAGCTTGTTGCTGAGAACGTCCGTGTGGTTCTGGTGAAATCATCTCACAGAGTTTTCAGAGCGCCTGCATACCCAGTGGCAGCAATCTCCGAAAGCTGTGTCCTGAAGTGGGCCGTGCGGTGGCTCATGCCTGTGAACTCCCAGCACTTTGGGGCAAGGAGGTGATTCACAAGGTTCAGGAGTTCGCAAGCCACGCCTGGCAACATGGTGAAACCGTGCTCTTCTGTACTAAAAATACAAAATTAGCCGACAGGGTCACGGGCACCTGTCCAAATCCCCGCTGTTTATTCAAGGCTGAGAGAGCATTGTCTTGCAATCGACGGAGGCAGGAGTTGCAGTCGAACCAATGATCGGCACTTGTCCACTCCAGCTGTGTGCGAAGCGCGGAGACTGTGTCTCTCAAAAAAAAAAAAAAGTGTGCTAATGTGAGACCGGGCAAGCGGTGCAGAAAACTGTACTGATCCGTTTTTGTATAGAAGGAGGAATGATAAAGAGATAGTGCCTCTTGTATTAGCCTGTATGTTTCCAAAACGATTTCTGGCAGTAGAGAAATGAACAGCATGGTTATATCGTTGGGAATTGGGAATTGAGCAGATTAGAGAAGGTGGCGGGTAGGACGAGAGTTCTTTACGCTGTACATTTTTTTCTTTTTTCAATACTGAGTCTCACTCTGTACACGAGGCTGGCGAGTGCAATGGCGTGTCTTCAGAACTTTACCGCAACGTTGGGTTCATGGGGATTCCTGTCTCAGTTCTGCCCTGGTAGCTGGTGATTACGGTTAGTATGCCACCCATGCCTGAGGGTAATTTTTGATTCTTTTTAGTAGACGCGGGTTTCACCATGTTGGCCCAGGCTGAGTCTCGGACGTCCTGACCGTCAGGTGATCCGCCACCCTCGGCTCCCCACGTGCTGGGCTATTATATGCATGGCCGCCATGCCCCAGCCTTTACCTGTCCATCTGATCCTCTACTTGCTTGAAAATATGGGAGATATACTCACCTTACTCAAAAACCTAAAATTAGTAAAAGTAGATTTGTCTCTTTTAAAAAAGTTGAATACACTTTTTAACAGCTACACAAGAGTTTTCGGTGTAGTTAGGGTCAGTGAGAGTCGGTTCATTCTCCCTTGCGGCTGATGTTTGTATTTTTTGAGTAGAGATGGGGTTTCACCATGTTGGCCAAGCTAGTCTCAAACTCCTGACCTCAGGTGATCCACCCACCTTAGCCTCCCAAAGTGCTGGGGTTACAGGTGTGAGCCACCATGCTCGGTCAGAAGTTTGACTACTTTTAATAAAAGCCTTGCCCTATCCAGACACAGTTCTGCATAGTTTTAAATGGCCACAGTATTATTTAATATATAAAAAGCAACACACATGTGCACACACACACAGAGAGAGAGAGAGAGAGCACGAGAGCTAGAAAACAACACCTACCTCATAACCATACTGAAGAACAGAAGAAGCTAGGCACGCTCCCAAAATGTTGCCCACAGAAGCACAGGCACTCCAGAGACCAAAAACAACTCCTCGTCTAAGATGGAAAACAATGGGAGACAAAGGACCATGGTCAGAAGAGATACTCTGGGCAGTTCAAAATACAAAACAGCCAAAACCACCAAGGTGCATAGTACCAAGACTAAACACGCTATTTTAAAAGTTTTAAAAAATACACTAAAATGGGCCGGGCACAGTGGCTCATGCCTGTAACCCCAGCACTTTGGGAGGCCAAGGCGGGCGGATCACCTGAGGTCAGGAGTTCGAGACCAGCCTGACCAACATGGAGAAAGCCTATCTCTACTAAAAATACAAAATTAGCTGGGCGTGGTGGCACATGCCTGTAATCCCAGCTACTTGGAAGGCTGAGGCAAGAGAACAGCTTGAACCTGCAAGGCGGAGGTTGCAGTAAGCCGAGATCACACCACTGCACTCCAGCCTTGGCAACAGAGCAAGACTCCGCCTCCCCCCACCCCCTAAAAAAGCTGTATCCAGAATGTAAGGCACTCTCAAAACTCAGTAAAATATGACAACAGACAATGCAACAGAATGGTAAAAAGCATGAATCTACAATCATCTCAAAATACAAAGTCTTTGAAAAGTGGGCAAAAGATTTTAATAGATACTTCACACAAAAAAAATATGCAAATAAGCACATGAAAAAACACTGAATTGGCCAGGCAAGATGGCTCACGCCTGTAATCCTAGCCTTTGGGAGGCCTGAGGTAGGCAGGTCACTTGAGGTCAGGAGTTTGAGACTAGCCTGACCAACATGGTGAAACCCCATCTCTATTAAAAATACAAAAATTAGCTGTGCATAGTGGCTGCACACCTATAATCCCAGCTACCTGGGAGGGAGGCAAGAGAATCACTTGAAACCAAGAGGCGGAGGTTGCAGTGAGCCGAGATCACACCACCGTACTCCAGCCTGAGTGACAGGGCGAGACCCTGTTTCAAAAACAAAACAAAGCAAAAATATTTTTAAAAAGATGCTCAAGTCATTAGACATGAGAAAAATGCAAATTAAAGTCACAATGAGATATCATTACACACCTATTAAAATGGCTAAAATCAAAAAACACCAAGCATGTCAAGTGCTGGGAAGGGCACAGAGTAATAAGAATCCTTATGCTGTGCTGATGAGAATGTAAAATGGTACAACTACTTTGGACTGCCAGTGTCTTAAAATGGTAAACGCACTCGGGCGCGGAGGCTCACGCCTGTAATCCCAGCGCTTTGGGAGGCCAAGGCGGGTGAATCACCTGAGGTCAAGAGTTCGAGACCAGTCTAACCAACATGGAGAAACCCTGTCTCTATTAAAAATATAAAAAATTAGCTGGGCGTGACGGCAGGCCCCTGTAATCCCAGCTACTCCGGAGGCTGAGGCAGGAGAATCACTTGAACCCACGAGGCGGAGGTTGTAGTGAGAGAAGATCACACCATTGCACTCCAGCCTGGGCAGTAAGAGCAAAACTCCATCTTGGGAAAAAACGAAAAAAAAGGGAAATACACACCTAACATATGATCCAGCCATTCTCCTCCTACGTATTTACCCAAGAGAAATGAAAGCATATGTCCACACAAGGATTTGTACACAAATGTTCCCAGGAGCTTTATTTGTAATAGCCCAAAACTGAAAACAACCCAAATGTTCATCTACAGGTGAATGAATAAACATGAACAAATTTCTAATTATGCTGAATAAAAGAAGACACAAAGGTTGGGCGTGGTGGCTCATGCCTGTATTCCCAGCACTTTGGGAGGCAAGGCAGAATAGCTGAGGCCAGGAGCTTGAGACCAGCCTGGGCAACACAGACCCTTTCTTTACAGGAAAAAAAAAAAAAAGAGTACATACTGTATGAATCCATTTATATATAAAATTATAGCTGGGTGTGGTGGCTCACACCTGTAATCCCAGCACTTTAGGAGGCTGAGGAGGGCGAAATCACCTGAGGTCAGGAATTTGAGACCAGCCTGACCAACATGGAGAAACCCTGTCTCTACTAAAAATGCAAAACTAGCCAAGCGTGGGGGTACATGCCTGTAATCCCAGCTACTCAGGAGGCTACGGCCGGAAAATTGCTTGAACCTGGGAGGTAGAGGTTGTGGTGAGCTGAGATCGCACCATTGCACTGGGCAACAAGAGCAAAACCCCATCTCAAAAAAAAAAAAAATTAGCTGAACGTGGTGTTACACGCCTGTAGTCCCAGCTACTCAGGAGACTGAGGCAGGAGAATCACTTGAACCCGGGAGGCGGAGGTTGCAGTGAGCGGAGATTGCCCCACTGCACTCCAGCCTAGTGACAGAACAAGACTCTGTCTCAAAAAAAAAAGGAAAAAAAAAGCTACTTGAAGGTTTAGGGGAAAAAAGTACCCTATTTGATCAAGCCCCAAAGTCTGGCGTTCTTCATCTGAATCTAATTAGAGCCCTTGTTACATGACCTTGGGCAGGTCACATGAATAACCTTTGGCCTCAATTTCCTTCTCTTTAATATAAAAAGGTTAAATAAGATCACTCTCAAAAATGGGCAGGAAAGGTAAAACCCAAAGGAAGATACACGACAGATAGCAAATGAGATTTTTATGTTCTCTAAAGAAACGATGAGTAAAATAAAAAATTGAGACCTCCTGACTTGGCCCACACTCAGAATCTGCCCACAGCCCAAAGAGTAGTAGGAACGTGTCTCCTGGGCCGGATCGCTTCTAGGGCCCACACCATTTCCAACGCACACTGACGTGAAACTTTCTCTCCCTGAACTCCTCTGACTTGCTAATGAAAGATGTGGGTGATATCTAAGGCATCAAAGTAACTGACTTTGACAAATCTGAAAAATTCATCATGGAAACCACTTAAACAGAGAAATCAGAGAGGAAAGAAGTGGCATACCCGGCTTTCCCAAACCAGTTGCCCATAATAGCAACCACACAGGGCCAACCGGTGGACTGCAGCAGGCCGTTCACAATCCACAGGCAGCAGTACAGCCATTTGTTGTAGAAACGCAGCCATTCTGTGAGCGTGCCAAAGACAAACACCTTGAAGAGAAGGAAACAAAAGGAATATGTAACAGCCACACTGAAACTTTCAGGGGATGCCACTCCACCCACTGGCTTCAGAGTAGAGACCACGTGAAGGATACACTCACACAGCCAGTGCCTGTAAGTCATGTGGCTGGCATCACAGGGGTCCTGCTCAGAGCCACAATGAGGAGGCAGCCGCCCAATCACTGCCCACCAGAGCGGAGGTGATGTCAAAGACGTGAAGTCATTAAGCTATCAGCGCTCCAACTGACATCTTCCAAGACTAAAAAGTGAATTCCTCGTTTGACATCTATTTCCATCTCCTCACCCTCAGACTGTGCATGTGGAGGGAACAGCAACCTCCAGAGGGTTGCTGTGAGGATGGAATGAGCCCAGGGAGGCCACCTTCCCCGGAACAGTGCCAGGCGCCGCTCTAGGCAGAGGCACGGGGTGAGTGCCAGCCACTGTTATGGCTGCAGCTCCTAAGTTAATCAACGAAAGCGAAACCTATCGAACTTGTGATCTGCTGAATCATTTAGCAGCTTTCATCAAGGGGCTGCTTTTTTCCAGGCATTTTGCTCAAGTGGACATTTTATCTACAGTCAAACTCTATTCTGAGAATACTCTGCATGATTAAAAAATAGCATGTATAATACTGTCTGGTTCCAGTTATAAGACATTCTAGAATAAGCAAAACTGTACACAGAAAAATGATCAGGGGTTGCCAGGGGCTGGAGAAAGGAGGGGCAGTCACAAAACTACTCATTTGTTGAAAGTCTGAACAATATGCTTAAAAAGGGCAAGCTTATGTACAAACTGCAGTTTTTAAAAAATATATAAAAAGCAAAAAAGTCTGTACACAGGTTTTAAAATAATATGTTTATATGTGTGGGTGAGCAACTCATAAAAAATAAAGTGCTTCCATCTCTAAAATTTCAAGGGGAGAAAAAGGTTTTACTTACACTCAAATGACAAACACTGAAAAACAATAGTAGGCCAAACGCAGGGACTTGTGCCTCTAATTCCAGTGTTTGGGGAGGCAAAGGAGGGAGGATCACTTAAGGCCAGGAGTTCAAGGATCAACCTGGGCAATATAGTGAGACCCCATGACTAAAAAATCTAAAAATTGCTGAGTATAACACTACACACCTACAGTCCCAGCTACTCAGGAGGCTAAAGTGGGAGGACTGCTCGAGCTTGAGAGTTCAAGGCTCCGGACCACACTGTTGCACTCCAGCCTGGGCAGCAAACTGAGACCTTATCTCTAAAAAAAAAAATAATCATAATAAATTACGGTCTAACTAAACTCCATGGTTTCATTTAATCAACAAAAATTCCTGACTAGAAGCTAGCAAACAATGACAATTAGTCAGATATAGAGGCCGGGCATGGTGGCTCACGCCTGTAATCCCAGCACTTTGGGAGGCTGGGGCAGGTAGATCACCTGAGGTCAGGAGTTTGAGACCAGCCTGGCCAACATCGTGAAACCCTGACTCTACTAAAAATACAAAAATTAGCCAGGCATGATGGTGCACACCTGTAGTCCCAGCTACTCAGGAGGCTAAGGCAGGAGAATTGCTTGAATCTGAGAGGCAGTGGAGGTTGCAGTGAGCCAAGATCATGCCACTGCACTCCGGACTGGGTGACACAGCAAGACTCCGTTTAAAAAAAAAAAAAAAAGAAAAGATTAGTCAGATATGGATCCTCCCCTACACAGCACTTGTTTCAAACACCTCACATACAGAAACTCGCAGTCCTCACTGCCAGCCAGGGAGAGGTAATATGCATATCTCCCTCTGAAGTTCACAGAAATCATAAGCTAGGAAACCACAGAAGAGAGACAGAAACCCAGGCTGTCCTGGTGTAGGGAATCTGTGATTTTAACCACTCCACGCCCACCCTAAGGGAAAGCAAGACTGAAACAGAAACAACCAAGCTAAGCAGCAGACTGTTTCAAGTGCCTGCAAAGAAACAGGCACGGGAGCTCAGAAGAGAGACCGGCATTCTCAAAGAGGTGTCATTTGGCCAATGCTTGAAGGAGACTGTGAGTCGGACTATGGAGAGCTGAATAGGGGACCATCCAAGGCAGGCAGAACAGCAGGAACAAAAGCACCGAGATAGAAAGGAGCAGGATGGGGCCGGGCACGGTGGCTCACACCTGTAATTCAAGCACTTTGGGAGGCCTAGGTGGGCGGATCATCTGAGATCGGGAGTTCGAGACCAGCCTGATCAACATGGAGAAACCCTGTCTCTACTAAAAATAAATAAATCAGTCAGGCGTGGTGGCGCATGCTTGTAATCCCAGCTACTCGGGAGGCTGAGGCACAAGAATTGCTTGAACCCAGGAGGTGGAGGCTGTGGTGAGGCAAGATCGCACCATTCCATTCCAGCCTGGGCAGCAAGAGCGAAACTCCATCTCAAAAATGAAAATAAAAAAAAGAAAGGAGCAGGGTGTTAGTGGCCTGGAAAGCAGTCCAGCTTGGCTGGAGCAAAGAGATGAAGCAGAGTGACAAATATGATGGGAAGGCAGGCTGGGGCCAGGGTCTAGCGAATGCCAGGCCATTTATTCAGACTACTGATTAACTCTGCTGGTGCCTGAGGGACAACAAAGGGACCTGATTAGAATCTTACTCTAAAAAGACTCATCTGGCCAGGCATGGTGGCTCACGCCTATAATCCCAGCACTTTGGGAGGCTGAGGCAGGAGGATCACTTGAGGTCAGAGATGAGCTTAGCCAACATAGTGAAACCCCGTCTCTACTAAAAATACAAAAATCACCCGGGCGTGGTGACTTGCACCTATAGTCCCAGCAACTCAGGAGAATCACTTGAACCCAGGAGGCAGTGGTTGCAGTGAGCTGAGATCGCACCACTGCACTCCAGCCTGGGGTAACAGAGCAAGACTCTGTCTCAGAAAAAAAAAAAGACTCATCTAAGTGAAAAGGCAAATGAGGGATTCGAACACTGAGGATTAATCTTACTATTCTATTCTACAGAGAAGTAGGGGGATTACTTGGATTCTAAAATACCTGACCAAAATAATAATAAGACCTTTTCAACTTACCACGAATGCAGAAGAGCACATGCCGAAAGACAGAACCCACCGCAAATTCAACCGATCCCCAACGATGCCACTGATGAAAAGGCCCTGAAAATAAAGCATTTTCTTTTACAGCTCTAAATAACAACACAGTATGAAAAAGTAACATGCACTGCAAAGCAAATGAGACAAACGCAGACATTATTTAAAATTAACCCTTATTCACACGCCTAGGCTAGCTGTCTACAGGAGTTTCACAAACGTTTCATGAAATGGCAGTGGGCTGGATAACAGGGTCAGTAATGAAGTGAAAACAAAAAAGTTACGAAAATAGAAGGAAAAAAAATTAAAAAAAAAAAAAAGGAAATGGCCGTGGGCTTCTGCATACTCTACCACAAACACACCAAAATTCAGGGCAAACTTTGGTTTTACTTGATTCTGTAACTGGAAAAAAATAAGTAAGAATGACTCTAATGAAACAAGCACACAAACATATTCCATTTTCTAGACTAGATTAATTCCTGCCCATCAGTGATAAGCTCTCCCAAAGGGATTCCTCTTAGCCATCTGCACTCTGGGTTAACATGTGTTACCACACGCCCTGCAGTTTCAGTTCCAAACTTGTAAAAAGTGGAATAGAAGGTTCCAGGGCACACCAGCCGCCTGTTGAATCTGACCCTTGGGTTTCATGACATCCCAAGGCAGGGAGAGTAGGAAGGCAGAGACAATAATCAGTTGGAGACAGGTTCTGTCTTCTACTCTCCTCCCACTGAGGGGCAGGAATTAAAATGCTGAGATCATGGCAGGAAGTGAGACTGAAGACCTTAAGGGCAGCAGACTTTAGGTTTCTTCCATAAATATTTAAAATGTCTCGACTTAAAACCTAAATTCAGTTAGGACCAGGTGTTTCTGATAAATTGAGTATCTCTATATCACTAGAAACACTTGGCTGGGCGTGGTGTCTCACGCCGGTAATCCTAGAACTTTGGGAGAGGGGAGAATTGCTAGAGGCCAATAGCTCAAGACCAAACTGGCCAACATAGCAAGAACCCATCTCTAAAAAAACAACATGACCAAGTGCAGTAGCTCACACCAGCACTTTGGGAGGCCGAGATGGGTGGATCACCTGAGGTGGAGTTCAAGACCAGCCTGACTGACACGGTGAAACCCTGTCTCTACTTAAAATACAAAAATTAGCCATGTGCGGTGGCGCGTGCCTGTAATCCCAGCTACTCGGGAGGCTGAGGCAGGAGAATCACTTGAACCCAGGAGCCGGAGCTTGCAGTGAGCCAAGATCGCGCCACTGCACTCCAGCCTGGGCGATAGAGTGAGACCCCATCAAAAAAAAAAAAAAAAAAAAATGAGAAGATAAATTTAAATATGAATGTTTCTCCCTCATTATCATCAAGCTTCCTCATCCTAAGAGAACCATGTCAGCCTTAAAGTAGATTCTATGTTGTCTAGCTGCCCCTCACATGGACTTATGCTACACAGAACAAAAGGGACGAAGAAAATCTCAATTCTGCTTAAGATGACATAACAATACATGCTTTTTTTTTTTTTTTTGAGATAGAGTCTCACTCTGTCATCCAGGCTGAAATGCAATGGTGCGATCTTGGCTCACTGCAGCCTCTGCCTCCTAGGTTCAAGCGATTCTCCTGCCTCAGCCTCCCAAGTAGCTGGGACTACAAGTGTGCACCACCATGCCTGGCTAATTTTGTATTTTTAGTAGAGATGGGGTTTCACCATGTTGGCCAGACTGGTCTCGAACTCCTGACCTCAGGTGATCCACCCGCCTCAGCCTCCCAAAGTGCTGGGTGGGATTACAGGCATAAGCCACCGTGCCCCGCCAGAATCAATACATTCTGTTTTGTTGCAGAAAGCAAAGTGACCCTACGTTACAGAAGGAAGTACAGCTCAAGATAAAAAACCATGACCATTGATTTTTCATGGCACTGATCTTTTATGTCCTAAATCTATTTATTCCTCTAGATGACTCTATAGATGAGGAAACTAAATACCAAAAAAGGTTAAGTTCTACTTTGCAACCAAGTTTAGCACAGCTAGTTAATCATGGCAGAGCTGGCCTTTCCAGTAGACTGCACTGCCTCTTAAAATGGTCCCTGAAGGAAATGAGTGGCTCAAAGAGAAGCAAGCACCCTGTCACCAGCTCTAGCCAAAGCCCAGTGCCCCTATCTGGGGATTTTATACAGACTAAATGAATGACCAGAGAACCATTCCAACTGTTTCTCTGTTTCCTCTTTGAAGAAAAGATACTCTTCATAATTAAACAAATAGGCTGGGCGCGGCGGCTCATGCCTGTAATCCCACCCAGAACTTTGGGAGGTTGAGGCGGGCGGATAATTTGAGGTCAGGAGTTCGAGACCAGCCTGACCAACATGGTAAAACCCCGTCTCTACTAAAAATACAAAAAAAATTAGCAGGGCATGGTGGCACATGCCTGCAGTCCCAGCTACTCGAGAGGCTGAGGCAGAAGAATTGCTTGAACCCAGGGGGCGGAGGCTGCAGTGAGCCGAGATTGCGCCACTGCACTCCAGCCTGGGCAACAGAGCGAGACTCCATCTCAAAAAAAAAAAAAAAAATACATGTGCATATACATACACACACACACACACACACTCTACACACACACATATAGGCCAGGTGTGGTAGCTCACGCCTGTAATCCCAGCACTTTGGAAAGCAGAGGTGGGCGGATCAGCTGAGGACAGGAGCTCGAGACCAGCCTGGCCAACATGGTGAAACCCCGTCTCTACTAAAAATACAAAAATTAGCCGGGCATGGTGGCGTGCACTTGTAATCCCAATTACCCAGAAGGCTGAGGCAGGAGAATTGCTGGAACCTGGGAGGCAGAGGCTACAGTGAGCTGAGATTGCCCCACTGCACTCCAGCCTGGGCGACAGAGCAAGTCTGCATCTCAAAAAAGAAATAATAAATAAAATAAATAAATAAATATAATTAACCAAATAAACATTTAGAAACTACTTCAGGACTTTTACCCAGTATTTCACATGGCCTGAACATTGAGAATTAAAAGGCGTTTTTAATAAGGCACACTTAAAGAGACAGAAATAAGGCACACTTAAAGACAGCATCTTATACGCTGGGGAGAAAAGGTCCATGTTCCAGCTGCTGCCACCGTTGGCTCCAGAACTCTAATGTGGGAGCCACCACAGCCGTTCCTACAGCAAGCCAGAGATGCCAGCTGCCTATCCTTATGCTGAATTACTCCTCACCACCGTGGAATGTCTCCCAGGATGCTACCTCTCCAGGATCCCGCCTTCCTTTTTTTTTTTTGAGACGGAATCTCATTTTGCCATCCAGGCTGGAGTGCAGTGGCACAATCTCGGCTCACTGCAACCTCCTCTTCCTGGGTTCAAGCAATTCTCCTGCCTCAGCCTCCCAAGTAGCTGGGACTACAGGCGCCCAACACCACACCCAGCTAACTTTTTTTTTTTTTTTTTTGAGACGGAATCTCATTTTGCCATCCAGGCTGGAGTGCAGTGGCACAATCTCGGCTCACTGCAACCTCCTCTTCCTGGGTTCAAGCAATTCTCCTGCCTCAGCCTCCCAAGTAGCTGGGACTACAGGCACCCATATCTGGCTAATTTTTGTATTTTTATTGGAAACGAGGTTTCTTCATGTTGGCCAGGATGGTCTCAAACTCCTGACTCCAAGTTATCCACCGGCCTCGGCCTCCCAAAGTACTAGGATTACAGGCGTGAGCCACCACACCCAGCCCCACCTTCCTTACCACTCCATCCCCGCCAGCTGGCCCATTCCTCACCCACCTCTGAGGACTGGAAGCCCTAGGGTTTAGGCTTCACACCTCTTCCCTGCCCTCGCCTGTTCCCTTGATCAATTCATGCAGCTTCACAGTTTTGATCTATAAATCATCTAAAGGGAAGGCGCGATGGCTCATGCCTGTAATCCCAGCACTTGGGAGGCCAAGGCAGGCAGATCGCCTGAGGTCAGAAGTTCGAGATCAGCCTGACCAATATCTCTACTAAAAAAACACAAAATTAGCCGGGCATGGTGGTGGGTGCCTGTAATCCCAGCTACTCGGGAGGCTGAGGCAGGATAATTGCTTGAACCCGGGAGGCGGAGGTTGCAGGGAGCCGAGATCGTGCCATTGCACTCCAGCCTGGGTGACAAGAGCAAAACTCTGTCTCAAAAATAAAAAATAATAAAAATAATAAAGGCCAAGGATGTGTATCTTCAGCCTGAACCTACACCTTGAACTCCGACTCAATGCCCAAGCGTGTGCTCTTCATCATCTGGGCAGTAGTGGTCAAATGTAATGCATCCAAAAGTGAGTCCTTAAATCTTTCTATCTCCCCAGTTTCCCCTCCGCCATGACACTTCCACCCTGGAGGTGTTCTTCACACATTTCTCTTACATTCCACATTCAAGAGGGAAAAAATATTGGCTTTACCTCCAACACACTACTAAAATCTACTTTCCCGCAACCTCTGTTACTGCTATGCTGGACCCAAGCCACCATCATCCTTCACCTCCAAAGAACTCAGCTCCCAGAGCAAGTGCGCCTGTCCAAACCTGTCAGGTCCTGCTGCTGCTCTGCACAAAACCTTCCAGCAGCTCCCATCGCACTCAAGGTTAAAGCCAAAGCCCCTACAAAGGCACCAAAACCCTACAGATCTGAACCCCGCCACATCTCTGGCCTCACTTCTTACAGCTCTGATCCAAGCACACCGACCTCACTCACCTGCTTGGGTCTTCACTCAAATGCCCGCTGCCTCCTGAAGTCTCCCAGCTATGCTACTTAAAATTACAACCTCACTCAGGCCCCTTTAGTCCCCCTTCTCTGCTTTATTTTCCTTCATTGCACTTATCACCTTCAAATGTACTCTACAATTTATTTATAGCATTTGGTGACTGTCTCCCCAAGCTCCCCGCCGAAGAACACAGGCTCCATCAAGGCAGGGCATTTTTGCGTTGTTCAGGATAAATTCCCATTGACATGTGCTACATGAGCAATAAATATCTGTTGAATGAATTAATAGATGAATGGGAAGAATAAAAAATATAAACTTCAGAAATACTGAACTCTGCCTCGGTCAGCAAATTCAAAATCCTGTACACATTTCGTAAGGCTCAGCGTTGTTTCCTTTTACATTTTTCTTTACCTTTAAACCCTAGAGTTCTAAAACTTACCACAGCATAGGAGAAGAGGAAAATGGTATCCAGAGTTCCGAGGAAAAGAGTCGCTTTCTCTGCACTGGGGAACAAATGGTTGCTGCTCCAGATCTGCAGTAAGACAGCAGGAACGGGTCAGTCCCTGTGGAATCTGCTAGCGCTTTCTGTTTCCCAAAGCCCCTTCACAAACACTTCCAAAACACCGGTAATGCTCAAGACCAACTTTTACTTCAAATGCATTCAGAAATAACTAGTAGAGCCGGCCGCGGTGGCTCACACCTGTAATCCCAACACTTTGGGAGGCCGAGGCAGGCAGATCACCTGAGGTCAGGAGTTCAAGACCAGCCTGACCAACATGGAGAAAGCCCATCTCTACTAAAAATACAAAATTAGTTGGGCGTGGTGGCACATGCCAGTAATCCCAGCTACTCAGGAGGCTGAGGCACAAGAATTGCTTGAACCCGGGAGGTGGAGGTTGCGGTGAGCAGAGATCGCACCATTGCACTCCAGCCTGGACAACAAGAGCAAAACTCCGTCTCAAAAAAGAAAAGAAAAGAAATAACTAGTATTTTTTTTTTGCTTTTATTATTTTTAATTGACACATAATAATTGTACATATTAAGGGAGTACAGTGTGATATTTCAACATATATTCAACATGTAATGATCAATTCAGGGCATTTAACCTATCACCTCAAACATGTATCATTAGAATGCCCAAACGCTAGTGACTAAGTGAATTAAGTAAGAAAGTGGGGCAGTAAGTTTAAAAGCAGACAATCTTTTTGTCTGGCAGAATTCAATATCCAATCAATTAGAAATTATGCCTACCATCTAGGGCCATACCACCCTGAAAGCATGTGATCTCATCTGATATAGGAAGTTAAGTGGGGTCAGGCCTGGTTACTACTTGGATGGGAGAAATTAAGTCTAACTCCATCTAAGGAAACATTTTACAATACTCTTCAAAAATAATTTCCTACTGATCAGTGGTTGCCTAGTTGCTGAGGGAAGCAAGAAGGGCTAACAAGGGGTAAAGAGAATCTAGGGAGTGATGTTCTATATCTTGGAATAGTTACAACACTATATGTGTTATCAAAAACTGTAGAAATGTATACTAAAAAGGTAATTATAAATCACATCTTGATTTTTAAAATGAAAAAAAGTGTCCTTCATTAACCTACTTCAATCAAATCACAATGTCTTGCCAACTTTATTATCTTCCTAGTCTGGTACTCAGAAAACTTATAACCCCAACTCTATGCTTAAGAATTTGTTGCGCTACAGGAGAATGGCATGAACCCGGGAGGCGGAGCTTGCAGTGAGCCGAGATCGTGCCACTGCACTCCAGCCCGGGCGACAGAGCGAGAGTCCATCTCAAAAAAAAAAAAAAAAACAAAGAATTTGTTGCCCTAGAGAGGCCACTATCCCAATACTTCTCAGCTTCTTCATAGGCACACATAGAAAACGATCTTTGTACAACACACTGGGGTAAACTGAAGATGATGTTCAAGGTCAGAGCTGATTGGCCTGCGAATATCCACCAGTCTAAAATCAGGAGGAGACTATCCCAAGCCCCACCTAGCAACCCCAGGAGCTTAGGGAAGGGAGATCGCATCTCACCTACAACCCATTCACGACAAAACAGCTGAGCAGCTCTCAGAGTACCTCAGTGGCCAGTCTGTAGAACCACAAAACGAGTTAAGTTCTATTTTTATTTATTTTTTTATTTTTTTGAGATGGAGTCTCACTCCGTTGCCCAGGCTGGAGGGCAGTGGCGCGATCTTGGCTCACTGCAACCTCTACCTCCTGGGTGCAAGGGATTCTCCTGCCTCAGCCTCCCTCAGCTAGGATTACAGGCATGTGCCACCATGCCCAGATGGTTTTTGTATTTTTAGTAGAGATGGGGTTTTGCCACGTTGGCCATGCTGGTCTTGAAATCCCGACCTCAAGTGATTTGCCCGCCTCCACCTCCCAAAGTGCTGAGATTACAGGCATGAACCACCACACTCAGCCGAGAGCTAGGTTCTTTCTAACTGCAAAATGCCATGTATGATTCTGCAGGATGTTTATATTCTTCAGCTGTGTTGAAATGAATCCAGTTTTTTAAATTCCTTTAGGATAAGAACCAGGTCTTACACATATTTATACAGGGTCTAACAGTGAAAAGAACCCATGGTTATTTTGTCAGTATCTTTTGTAATGAATTAAATAATGTCCATTCATTTTCATTTTAAAGAAAGATGAGCAGGATATACGAAACCAGGCCATGAGAGGAATCACTGAAGGAAATGGAAATACAAATTTATGCTGAAAAAGAGAGACACAGGGGATCTGTGAAAAGTTATCCTCAACTTTATGAAGGGCCAGCGGTGGAAAAAAGATCTGAGTTAGTTTACAGAACTTTCAAAAACGTAATGGGCTGCTTCACGGTGTAGTGAATTTCCCCCACAATAGACATCCCTGAGGGAAACGGGAAGGTAATTTCTCAAAGATACAGAAGGGGTTCTTCAACAGGATGGGAGACGGACCAGATCACAGCCCTCCAACTGTGGTCCACGGAACTCGGGTAGACGGAGAGGCCTCCAGAGCCTTCCTCCAAGGGGGTCTGCAAGGTCAAAATTATTTGCACCACATTAAAATATGATGTCCTTTCAACTTTGTTCCCTATTGCACTGGAGAGAAACTGCCGCACCTTAGCATAAACCAAGGCAATAATGCCAGACAGCACTAGTAATCACCATATTGCTCACTGCAACATCCTCACAATAAAAAACCAAAAAAGGATTTTAAAAAGCCAATGTCGGCTGGGCTGGGCGGCTCACACCTGTAATCCCGGCACTTTGGGAGGCCCAGGAGGGTGGATCACTTGAAGTCAAAAGTTCAAGACCAGCCTGACCAACACGGTGAAACCCCCATCTCTGCTAAAATTATAAAAATTAGCCCAGTGCGGTGGTGGGTACCTGCAATCCCAGCTACTTGGGAAGCTGAGGCAGTAGAATTGCTTGAACCTGAAAGGAGGAGGTTGCACTGAACTGAGATTGTGCCACTGCACTTCAGCCTGGGTGACAGAGTGAGACTCTATGTCAAAAAAAAAAAAAAACCAGTGTCACATAAGACTGTCCTTCATGAAGCAGTAAAAATTTTTAATTTTATAAACCGTAGGTCCTTGAGTAAAATAATTTTTCTTTTTCTTTTTTTTTTTTTTTGAGACAGCCTCACTCTGTCGCCCGGGCTTGAGTGCAGTGGTGCGATCTCGGCTCACTGCAACCTCTGCCTCCCGGGTTCAAACGATTCTCCTACCTCAGCTTCCTGAGTAGTTGAAATTACAGGCACGTACCACCATGCCCGGCTAATTTTTGTAATTTTAGTAGAGACGGGGTTTCACCATGTTGGTCAGGCTGATCTCGAACTCCTGACCTCATGATCTGCTCCCCTCAGCCTCCCAAAATGCTGGGATTACAGGAGTGAGCCACTGCGTCCGGCCAATAATTTTTCATATTCTGTGTCAGTAAGCAGAAAGTCTGCAAGAATCACTTCTGATACCAAAGCAGCTAGAACGTATTTTGACTTTGAAAGACTGACTGAGAAACTAGTTACTCAGATGTGAGTATTTGGCAGGGATTGCCTCAGACATGAATGAAATGAGCCTGTCACTTTAAAGATCCAAAGAACACCACAGACCAATGGATCTTAATGTAAGAGTATTACAAAGTGCATTGATAGTTTCAGATTCCATCACTGGAACTAATTTTTAAGAAATTATCACTTATCCAAATTTTGCTGTAGTACCAAAGACAAATGAACATCTACAACTAGCTGAAAAGGCTACAAAAACACTTCCCTCTTTTCTAACTTCAAACCTGTGAAAAGGCCAAATTTTCTTCCTATATTTCAAAGAATTTTTTTTTTTTGAGATGGAGTCTCATTATGTTGCCCAGGTTGCTCTTGAAATCCTAGGCTCAAGCGATCCAACATTAGCTTTCTGAGTATGTGGGACTACACACTCCACCATGCCCAGCTAAAGATCTTTGAATAAACTCTGCAATACACTGAATTCAAAGGAGACATGAAAACCCACTATCTCCTATTAACAGACATGAAGTGATGTGCAAAACTGTAAAACAATGCCACTCATTATTTTGTTTTGAAAAAGTCATTTTTCAGAAGATGTTATTTATGTTACTATTTATTGACTTATTTAATTAATTAAAATGCAATCCCAAAAACTCCAATGTATTTTTTAAATTCTCAGCTTTAATTTCTAAACTAGTATCTATAGATATAAACCCATATAACCAAAAACATTTTGAGGTCCTATGACCAAAAAGCTAGAAAATGCTTGGACTAAATCATTTCTGAGGTACTTACTAATTATAATATCCTGGCATTTCTGAGATGGGTTGTTACAGAAAGAAATTTTGATTTTAGGCCAGGTACAGTGGCTTATGCCTACCATCCCAAGCACTCTGGGAGGCCGAGACAGGTTGGTCGCTTGAGGTCAGGAGTTTGAGACCAGCCTGGCCAACATGGCAAAGCCCTATCTCTACCAAAAAATACAAAAACTAGCCGGGCGCAGTGGCATGTGCCTGTAGGTCCAGCTACTCGTGAGACTGAGGTGGAAGAATCGCTTGAACCCAGGAGGCAGAGGTTGCAGTGAGCTGAGATTGACACTGTACTCCAGCCTGGGTGACAAAGCAAGACACAATCTCAAAAAAAAAAAATTAGATTTTAGAATATTTAAAGAGGCTGGGTCCAGTAACTCATGCTTATAATCCAACACTCTGGGAGGCCCAGGCAGGAGGATCCTTTGAGACCAGGAGTTGAAGACCAGCATAGGCAACATGGTGAGACACCCCCCACATCTCTACAAAAATAAAAATAAATTAGCTGGGCATGCTGGTACACACCTGTAGTGCCAGAGTACAGGAAGCTGAGATGGGAAGATTGCCTGAGCCCAGGACTTCAAGGCTGCAGTGAGCTATGATCATGCCACTGTACTCCAGCCTGAGCAACAGAGCAAGACCCCATCTTAAAAAACAAACAAGGCCGGCGCAGTGGCTCATGCCTGTAATCCCAGCACTCTGGGAGACCGAGATGGGGGGATCACGAGGCCAGGAGTTTGAGACCAGCCTGGCCAATATGGTGAAACCCCATCTCTACTAAAAATACAAAAATTAGCCAGGTGTGGTGGCACGCGCCTGTAGTCCCAGCTACTCAGGAGGTTGAGGCAAAAGAATTGCTTCAACCCAGGAGGCAAAGGTTGCAGTGAGCACAAGATTGTGCCACTGCACTCCAGCCTGGGCGACAGATCAAGACTGCACCTCAAAAAAAAAAAAAAAAGGAAAAAAAAAACAGGCCGGGCGCAGTGGCTTATGCTTGTAATCCTAGCACTTTGGAAGGCGGGGGCAGGTGGATTGCCTGAGCTCAGGAGTTCGAGTTCGAGACCAGCCTGGGCAACACGGTGAAACCTCATCTCTACTAAAATAAAAAAAACCAGCCGGGCGTGGTGGTGTGCACCTGTAATCCCAGCTACTCCGTAGACTTAGGAGAATCGCTTGAACCTGGGAGGCAGAAATTGCAGTGAGCTGAGAGAGCGCCATTGCACTCCAGCCTGAGCTACAGAGCAAAACTCCGTCTCAAAAAAAAAAAAAAAAAAAAAATTAACATTTAAAAAATTTTAAAGAGAAAAAAAAAATCTTTATTTTTAATCCGTGTCAAGTGAGTAATGTGCCCACGTTGTAACAAGGTCCAAGGGTGGCACATCTCACATGTGTGTGAATACTCAATAATCCAGCTTATGAACAACAAAAGAATCAAAGAAATATATCTTTAACAAAAAATAAAATCCCCAAATCATAAACAAATAATAAAGTGTGATTCCAAAGCAGTGGAACTCATTTCTGGGTGGCTTCTGGCACCAATCTGGTTACTTTAATGCCACCTCACACATACTGTGAAGACGCGTTCTATCCAAGATGAGAAAGCAGCGCAGGCTCACATAGCTGACATCAAACAGCATTTTCAGCAATGCCAATTTGGGGTCCTAAATGTCTTCAATGAGAGTGACGTTCCCACATTTTCCCTGCAACCACAGTCTTCCATCCTTGTGTGCCCACCAGACTGATCAGGACCCATGATTAAGCCCTGCTGGGTACACGCACCGGTGTGAGCTAGAGACAAGGACCTTATTAAGCAGCTGCTCAAAGTTGTAGGTTTTCTTTACTCCTCCAAGAAGTTACCGAAAACTCCCTGCAGGTGTGGCTTTTGCAAGAATTAACAGATTTTAAACAGCTTTTTTTCTGCTTCACTGCCAGAATTCAGTTGAAATATATTTTTTGACTGTTGACTTAAATGGAAAACAAAACCGAACCAAAAACTAAAAGAAGAAAGTAGGACTAACAAACAGATGCAGGAAACAGGGTAACAGAAAAAAGCCTGGAGAAGAAAGTTAACATCAATAACATAGCTCAGATCAGGATGACTATACGACTTGGTTAGTCATGTTCCAGTTATTCACAGTGAACCATCCAATGTTTAATGAAAGTCACCAATACAACTAAGTCAACATGCTAAATGTGATTCAACCTGGTCTGAGCGTACATTTGATGTGAACTTATCAGCCTGAATGTACTGCAGGGTTTTCTTGTATTGTGCTGGGGGGACTATATAAGCTACTACACTTGCTCGATGTGAGGTACTTCCTGTGCACACGCTAAAGGTCCCTGTGTGGGTTTCCCAGGTGAGAATGTTTATAACAGAATAAGGGCTATGCAGGAGGGCAGGGGAGGCTCACTAACACGGAAGGGCTTCCTCAAAGTGGTGAGCAGAGGATGGACGACAGGCCAACTTATGCATGCGGTTCTTTGCATAAGGCAGAGTGGAACATGTTTACGTGGGAATCTACTAAGTAGCTGTGCATACGGTTGAGATGGACTCTCCAAAGACACTTTTTGAGACAGGGTCTTGCTCTGTCACCCAAGCTGGAGTGCAGTGGCACAAACATGGCTCACTGCAGCCTTGACCTCCAGAGACCAAATCATCCTCCCACCTCAGCCTCCTAAGTAGCTGGGAGTACAGATATGTGCCACCACACCCAGCTAAATTTTTTTTTTTTTTTTTTTGAGACAGTCTCACTCTGTCACCCAGGCTGGAGTGCAATGGCATGATCTCGGCTCATTGCAAACTCCACCTCCCGGGTTCAAGCCATTCTCCTGCCTCAGCCTCCCAAGAAGCTGGGACTACAGGCATGCACCACCATACCCAGCTAATTTTTGTATTTTCAGTAGAGATGGAGTGTCGCCATGTTGGCCAGGCTGCTCTCGAACTCCTGACCTCAAGTGATCTGCCCGCCTCGGCCTCCCAACGTGTTTGTTTGTTTTTTTGTGTGTTTTTTTTCATTTTTGTAGAGACAATGGTCTATGTTGCCCAGACTAGTCTCAAACTCCTGGGCTCAAGCAATCCTCCTGCCTAGGCCTCCCAAAGTGGTGGGATTACAGGCCTGAGCCATTGTGCCTGGCCCAAGACATTTTAAATTCTTCTTCCTTCTCCTGGGGATAATTTTAGATTCTCTAGCACTATTCTCATGTAAGAACTGTACAAATTTTTATTATAGTTTTTAGCTGAGTTGTTCTCAAATATAAGATCTAGTGATTATTATCTATATAGATTTTATGTTTATTATGTTTACTTACCATTTCCAATGTTTGTCCATGTCAGTGGATCCATTATAAGTTCTAAAGGTAACAGAGACTGTGTCTGCTGAACTCATTTTGTGAAACACCCAGAGCTGAGCATAAAAATGAAAGCTATAAAAGGTACTTTTTAGGATGCTATTTAGAGCACTTAAGAAATGTTTTTCTGTTTAACTTTTTAACTCTTAAAAATACATAAGCAAAATATTTTTTTAGCTGGCCATGGTGGCACACACCTGTAGTCCCAGCTACTCAGGAGGCTGAGGCAGGAGGATCGTTTGAGTCCAGGAGTTCAAGTACGGCCTGGGCAACATAGCAAGAGCCCTATCTCTTAAAAAATAATTTAAACACTTTTTTAAATTAAAAATTAATGCAAGAGGCCTCTGGGCCTGGCCTCTTCCAGACTTCACACCAGGCCGGCCTCTTCCCTTTGCTGAGTTTACCTCGTATCCTCTCACTGGAATAAATTACAGCCACATGTACTCTATGTTGAGTCCTCCTAGTTGATCACCAAACTGGGGGTGGTCTTGGGAACCCCCAGCCCAGTTACTTAAAAATAAAGGCAGCCTTAGGCAATACAACCGGAAATCTAGTGCCTAAATGAAATCCTGTTTTTCTCTATATTGTTCAGGCTGTACCTGAAATCCCACAATCAGTGCTCAGTGTCACTAAACTACAGCTGAAGGAGCCAAGAATGTTTTGCCTAAACAGAAACTTACAGAGACAGGGAGGAATATTCTTCAAAAGCTGAATAAAAATGTAAGCATCCACCTCACACAACAGCAAGTTTCTTCTGCCTAGAACTACCGAAGCAGAAGCTGGATGGTTATCTTCCAAGAATGACAAAGAAAGATTCCAGTCTGGGAGGGCAGGGTGCATGATCTCTCTGAGACCACTTCCATCTTTAAGATTTATGATCTGGGCCACGGGCGGTGGCGCACACCTGTAATCCCAGCACTTTGGGAGGCCGAGGTGGGAGGATCACGAGGTCAAGAGATCAAGACCATCCTGGCCAACACGGTGAAACCCTGTCTCTACTAAAAAATACAAAAAGTAGCCGGGCATGGTGGCGGGCGCCTGTAGTCCCAGCTACTCGGGAGGCTGACGCAGGAGAATCGCTTGAACCCGGGAGGTGGATGTTGCAGTGAGCTGAGATCACGCCACTGCACTCCAGCCTGGCGAAAGGGCAAGACTCCATCTCAAAAAAAAAAAGATTTATGACTCTAGCCAGGAGCAGTGGCTCATGCCTGTAATACCAACACTATGGGAGGCCGAGACAGGCAGATCACTTGAGGTCAGGAATTAGACTAGCCTGGCTAACATGGCAAAACCCCTTCTCTACGAAAAATAGAAAAATTAGCTGGGTGTGGTGGTGCACGCCTGTAATCCCAGCTACTTGGGAGGCTGAGGCAGGAGAATCGCTTGAACCCCAGAGGCGGACGTTGCAGTGAGCCGAGATTGCACCTGACTTCAAGGCACATAAGCAAGATACAAACAAATGAAATAGGCTGGGCGCAATGGCTCATACCTGTAACCCTAAAACTTTGGGAAGCCAAGGACGGAAGATGGCTTGAGTCCAGGAGTTCAAGACCAGCCTGGGGCTCAGCTCCCAAAGGCTGGGGTTATAGGCGCTGAGCTGCCAGGCTTGGCTCATCTTTTTTTTTTTTTTTTTAAAGAGAAGAACTCTTGGCCAGGCATGGCGACTCACACCTGTAATCCCAGCACTTTTGGAGGCCGAGGCGGGTGGATCACCTGAAGTCAGGAGTTCGAGACTACCTGGCCAACATGGTGAAACCCCATCTCTCCTAAAATACAAAAATCAGCTGGGCGTGGTGGCCTGCACCTGTAATTCCAGCTGCTTGGGAGGCTAAGGCAGGAGAATTGGCTTGAATCTGGGAGGCGGAGTTTGCAGTGAGCTGAGATTCACACCACTGCACTCCAGCCTGGCAACAGAGTGAGACTCCGTCTCAGGAAAAAAAAAAAAAGAGAAGAATTCTAAAATTGTTCAGTGTCATGCCTGTAATCCCAGCATTTGGGAGGCCAAGTGGTGGAGGATCACTTGAGCCCCAGAGTTTGAGACCATCCTGGGCAACATAGCAAGACTCTGTCTCTACAAAAAATACAGAAATTTTTGTAGCCTGAGTAGCTAAGATTACAGGTGCACTGAGCATGGTAGGGTGCGCCTTAATCCAGCTATCAGGCCTGGGGTGGGAGGTTCGCTTGAGTGCGGGAGGTCTAA